TTCTACTATTCTTGCCTCTAAGGAGCATCCTAGTTGCACTTTCTCCAATATATATCTGTTTGTTCTTTTGGCAGGCCATGGGATCTTCAGTACTCTTCTCTGACACCACAACTCAAAGGCATAGATTTCTCTTCTATAATCTTTATTCATTGTCCATATTTCAGATGCATGGCATGAAAAGATCATGGATTGGATCAGATGCATCGTTTTGTGTTTAACATTTTACTCTTTAAAACTTTGGAGAAATCCTTGGCATTGGATTTCCCAATGAGATGTTTCTTTTGATTGTAGGGTATGACTCCTGAATTAGCCTGTATTTTTTTTCCTTTGATGGTTTTTTATTTTTTTTTTTTTTTTTATTTTTTTTCCTTTGATGGTTTTTTATTTTTTTTTTATAGTTTAGACTTCACACTGAGCAATATGACCCATCTTGAGTTAGATTTTTTTGTGTAGTATGAGCTATGAACTTTGTTTCCGTTTTCTCTAAACACATATATTAAGTTGTACCATCACCATTTGTTAGTTTTTCTTGTTGACTAGATTTTATCTCTTTGTCAAAGATCAACTGTCCATGGGTGGATGGATTTATTTCTGAGTTCTCAATTCTGTTCCATTTGTTGATGTGTTTTTCATTGTACGTAAGGCCTCTATTTTTCATCTTCAATAGTGTTTTGCTTATCTGGAATCTCTTTTCTTTCCTTCCCTTCCACTCACTTTCTCTCATTGAAACCAACTCATAACTGACTTTTCAGCAACTTTCTGAGGCTGTAAATCAGATGAAAGGAGATTACGCATCTTTATTCTATGGGGCTGCTGATGGACTTTAAATGACCAGAGAGACACAGCTTCTGGGTTAGCCATGTGACCTACATGCCCTCTGACATATACCACTATATTTCTTCACAGTATTCTATTATTATCCTTTTAATTTCTGTGGGTTGTGCCATCAACTCATTTCGTTTCTTGTTCATATTATTTGTATCTTCTCCTTTTCATTTATTGGAGCTACCAGTGAGTAATTTGACAATTTTATTAATCCTTTCAAAGAACCAATTCTGATCTCATTAACTTTTTCTAATGTTTTTCAGTTTGATTTATTCCTGCTCTAGTCTTTTCTTAAAAAAATTTCTTGTGGTGACTGTCAGGCTTGTTTGCAACTTCTTTCTAAGTGTTGGAGATAATGTATCAAAATGTAAGTTTTGGTTCTTTCTTCTTTTATTGATATGGGTGCTTATTATTCTCTGAGTACTGCTTTTTCTGTGTTCCAAACTCTTTATTATTGTTTTTATTATGTTTCATACTATTCTTTATTCATATTATGTTTCATACAATCATTCCCATGCATTGTTTTATAAAATTAATCACCATTGCACTTGATGTTTGCTTTCATTTTGTTAAAAATATTTTTTATTTCAATTTTGTTTCTTCTGTAACCAAGTAGCTTTTAAGCAGTGTTCTTTATTTCCATACACTAATTTTTTTCCTTTCATCTTCCCATTGCTGATTTCTAATTTTATATCCTGATTTAATTTTTAATCTAGATCTTGATCTACTTTGGACTATGTAAAAGTTTTTAAATTTATTGAGTTTTGCTTTGTGGCCTACCATGTGATCTATCTCAGAGAACATTCCCTGTGCACTGGAGAAGAATGTATATTGTGTTTTTGTTGGGTAGAATGTTCTCACGCATCTGTTAGATCAAATTGGTTAATTGTATTGTTTAGTTAGAATAGCAAATTTTAAAACAAAGCCCCTACAGTTGAAAAAATAGTTACCTTCTTTTACTTTTATTGCAACAAGAAAAATAATATTAATATTTCCTGAAGACCTGTGAGACATCAGGCACGGTCATAGTACCTTTGACTTATGTATATAACTCACTTAAATTTTCTATCCAGTGAGTGATAATATTGCTCCCATTTCGTGCATGAGATAATTGAGGCACGGAACGTCATCACTATCCATATGGAACCAAGACAGACACTTTGGAGGCTAAAGTTTCAAATTTTGGATAGGTGACATGAAGACTATTTAAGACCTTATAGGGGTTCATGGAGATGCCTATCATATCCCTGGGGTTGATTGCATTTCACATCATATCTAACTTTTCTTGACTTTATGAAAACCCTAGGGCTATGTGCCACTGGAATGTGACTATAGTAGTGGATTGCTAAAGTAAATGTCCTCTTCCCTTGAAGAAGAAAGTAAAATCTTGTATATACTCTTGACCAGGAGGGCAAGAGAGGTCCAGCACCAGCCCTGTGGTGGGTGAATGGCAAAGGAGATGAAATAAAATGGACCTTCACCGAGCTCACAGACCTAACCCGCCGAGTAGCCAACGTCTTCTCACAGACGTGTGGCCTGAAGCCCGGAGACCATCTGGCCATGATTCTGCCCCGAGTGCCCGAGTGGTGGCTGGCATTAGTGGGCTGCATGCGAACAGGTCAGTGTCTCAGGGGGACCCTGATGGATTTCAGAAGTGGCTTCTTATGCTGTGACTTCTGAGCTAGCTGCTATGCTTCTGGGGGTTAAGAGCCCAGTGAGGAAGAAAACACTTTCTCTTTCTCTACTTCCTTTCTTTTTTTCATGTGAGCTCACGAGTTCTCTTACTCCTTCTTCCTCACTCTCTTCCTCACATTCATACACTCAAACACTACCTCATACACTCTCTCACATCCTTCCTTTGCATACTTTCAGGCATTTTCTTTTTTTTTTTTTTTCATTTTCATCACTGTTTACTATTTGGCCATTCTCACTGTGTATCTGTCTCTGTCTCTTTTTTCTCTTTCTCTCTCACATATCCTCCCTCCTCTTCTTTCTTGTACTCTGAGCACTTGGAGAATTTGATACAGTTCTTCTAACACTCCCCCCATGAATACTGAAGCATTCATTTGCTAGGAGCAAATATGTTCTGTTCACACACCACAACTCAACTATCACACAAGAAATCTAAAATTGGTTTAGCACAGTTAACTGGTATGTGTTCATGAGTCAAATTTTTTAGTTGTCCCAATAATGCCCTTAAAGCTATACTTTATTTTTAAACTGAAAATCCAGGGCGGGGGGGGGGGTGTGGAAATCATGCATTGTATTTGTTTTTTATTTTTTATTGGTTGCATACAAAATTATTAAGCATTGTGTTTCATTCATGTACGTTGTATTTCACACATTCCTTCATTCACATTGTATTTCATATGATCATTCATATACACTGTGTTATAGAAAACTAATCATATTTGCTTTATGCATGTTATTTCCTCATCTTGTTAGATCCTCACATAATCTTTCCTAATTCCTTCACTCTCCTCTCTACGCACCAAATTCTCTTATCCTAGTGATCTCCCCCCCCCACACACCTTATACATCCCTATCCCCCATCTCCTCTACTTTTGGACTATTATTCATATATTACCAGTTATCCTATTTTTATAATAATTGTCTTATGTAGTTCTTGTCCATACCAAACTGAGTTAGTTCACTCAGCATAATACTCTCCATGTTATATAGTATTTTACAAAATCATTATTCCTTAGTGCTGTATAGTATTCCATTCTGTGATTGTTCCAAAATTTCTCAAGCCATTCGTTTATTGATGGACATTTAATTGGAATATCTCCTCAGTCTTCTCAACTTTTTCTGCATGCCTATGACAGTTTTGAACCATACAAGTTGCTTTGGCTATGTTGTTAAGAGAGGCCAGTCCTTGAAGAAAGCCATCATGCTTGAAAAGTGGAGGGTCAACGGAGGAAAATGACCTTCAACAAGATGAAGTGACACCGTGACTGTAACAATGGGCTCTAGTATGGCAGAGAGGGTGGAAATGGTACCGGTTAGGGTAGGGTTCAGATATGATGTTCATAGGATCGTTATGAGTCATTCTCAAGTCAATGGTACCCAACAAGAGGTTGTTTTTCAGGATGTCCACTCAACATTTGTTTCTACACCTCATGACTGGTTAAAGTATTACAAGGAAGATCTTCTTTCTCTCTAAGTACACCATATCGGGGAGTATATGAAGTCATTTGTTTACCATCAATTATATAATTTGACTACCTGAGCAAACTGATATCTACCATATTTTTCCTTTTAAAGGCACCTTTCCTTCTTTGTATTTTTAAGTAATCTATAATGTAATTCTTTTCAGATTATATAAATATCCTGTTCTCCAACAGTCTGTTATCAAATTGTTTAATCATTACAATTCTTAGAAGAATTGGGTGTTATCATGATGGTTTTGAATAGATGATTTTCTGTTTTGATCATTTCCTCTGTGTTTATTAGTTTGCCTTCTTCTGTGAAAAATGTTTTCCCTCTTCCTTTTACCTACCTGGAGTCCTTTGTGGTGCAAAAGGTTAACTAGTTCTGCTCCTAATCAAAAGGTTGGAGGTTTGAGTACACCCAGTGTCTCCTCATCGGCAAGAGCTTGGTGAACAAATTGTGAAAATATCAACCCTTGTGAACTTTACAGAGCATGGTTCTCTGACAGACATGAGGCCATCTGGTGTCAGAATCAACTCAGTAGCAGTTGATTTTTTATTTAATCAAGTAATAGCTATACTTTAGAATGTCTTATTTATAGCAATTTTCATTGCTGACCTGAAGGCTGGACTGTTCATCCGAGAGCAAAAGATGGACAATCTTTTGTCAGGCAATTTATAGTCTCAGAAACTCAATGGAGGGTCAGCCACGAATCAGGTCCAACTCAACAGGAATGAGTTGTTTCGTTTGTTTTCTTAGGACACTTGTGGATTCTTTCTTTCATCACACTTCTCATCCTATCTCACACACTCAGGAAACACTCTAACATGCTTGTAGATAGTCTCGCTCTCACTGTTTCCTAGCTCACGAAACAGTCAGCGAAGTCACTAAGGTCATGCCAGATCTCCCTTTATACCTGAGATTCCTGCACAAGCCAGCGATGAAGAACCAGCTTGGATGTCTAGATGGCAGTAGTAGCAGCTGTAGCGGCAGCAGAAGATGAGATGAAGAACCAGAGACCAGCGGGAGATAAAATTAGGGGATCCTGATCAACACAGTAAGAAAGCCGAGTGCTTGCCTGTGAAGTGAATGCCTCTGGACACTTGCCAGAGGAGCTAGGTGTGCCAATCAGTGCAGTTAGAGCCAAACACCTTCAAGCCCAGGTTTACCAACAGAGTAGGGGCAGCACATAATTGGTAGAACTAAGATTTGTACCAGTTATCTGAGCAGGGCAGAGGTTGACACTGCCAGCCAGCACACCTGAGAAGAGGCTGTCTTGCTTGAAGGACTGTGTCTTGGGTACTCCTGGTTCTTAACTCAAATTTCCCTAATAAAGCCCATTAGTGGGGGAAGGGGGGATTCATATGGAATAAAAAATTTGATGACAAAGCTAGTGTGAAAAAATCATGTAATATAATTCAATATGAATATAGTTAAGAGACCAGCAAATGAAAAGTTGAGATTTGATTCTCATTCTCTGAGATAAATGGAAGGGAAGAATAGTTAAAGCAAAAGAAGGGTATTCAAGACACGAGCAGAACACTTGAAGAGGTTTGGAATCATGAATTACCTATTTAAAGAAAGCCCCCTTAGAAACAGAGGATGGGATTTGTGGAAGAGAAAGCAGGGGAGAGGCTAACATAGTGAAATATCGTCAAGAAGAGTTTGGTTCTTTCCCCTGGAGGGAAGATACAAGTGTTAGTGTAGGAATACTCCCCTCCTTTTATTATTATTATTCATTTTACTGAAAATTTACAGAGACTTTGGATTTCCATTTATTCGTTTGTTGCACTTTTCTCCCTGCTCCCTCCCCTGTCCCAGTGCACTCTTCTCTTTGAAAAGTAAAAGAAAAATCCTTTCATTGTTTTACAATCCCTTCCCACGGGTCCACTCCACTATACAACCTTCGTTCTGGACTCCTGTCATGACAATAATACCTAATCTCAAATCCCTTTTAATTCATTTTCTCCCTCATCTGTTTTAATGGAAAGTAGCCAAGTCTGGGAGGATTCCAGAAAGAGTATCCATAGAGAGGTTAGAGTTTGGTTGTTGCCTTTATTGTTAGGTACAATCAAGTGACTACAACTCACAGTGACCCTGTGACCAAGAGATCTGGACCATGCACTGTCCTGCGCCATTGCCATAATCTCTGCCATGCTCAAGTTCATTGCAGTAGTCACTGTGTCACAGTATTGTTTTTTCACAGCAAGAGATTGGGAGATTTCTATGAGCAAGCCTAAGGACCATGATTGTAAAGGAGTAACAAAAAAACAAGCATTTGCTTTCTCCACCCCAGGAGTCATCTTCATGCCGGGGACCACCCAGTTAACAGCCAAGGACATTCTCTACCGACTACAAGTATCTAAAGCTACAGGAATTGTGACCACGGATACCCTTGCCCCGGTGGTGGACTCTGTGGCTTTTGACTGCCCGTCTCTGAAATTTAAGTTCCTGGTGTCTGACCACCACCGTGAAGGGTGGCTGGACTTTCGGTCACTGGTCAAGTAAGTTCTGGTCATTTAATGATTGTGTTCCTTGCAGAATGGTGGGAAAACCTTGCTGTGTCCCAGTGCTGGGGGACAGGGGGCCACGCAGTGGGGAGTTCAACAGGTAGGAGGCAAGGCTGGGTGTGTTTGAATTCTGACTCTGCCACTTGCTAGTTCTTTAGCTTTTGGCAAATTATCTAACGTCTCCTGAGCCTCTGAGTTTTCATCTGTGAAATGGAACAATAAGAGCAGTAATTACTTCCTGGGATTACTCTGAAGAGTAAATGAGCTCTGGTGGCCTAGTGGCAAGAAGCTGTGCTGCAATCCTGAAGGCACACTGTTCAAGTCCACCAGCTGCTCTGTGGGAGAAGGATGGGCAATCTCCTCCCGTGTGATTAACTGCCTCTGAAAACCCACTGGAGGGTCAGCTTTGGGTCGGTTCCGACTAGACAGTACACAAAAACAATTGAAAATTACAGCATTGCCTGGGACACAATAACTGCTATTCTAAGTGTGTGTTGATTTTTTGAGAAGAAAAAAAAAATCCAGTTTTTCCCCAATAAAGAAACGGTAGTCCAGTTGTCCTGATTTCCATAAAGTCAGTATAACACCTAATATCAAGGGAATTCATTTTCCCTCTTGTGTTGCGAATCCCTATTTTCCTGACTCCAAGCCTCATGTTATTTCCTTTCTTCTCCAGACTAAGGATAAAACAGCATATATGACATTTCTCTTTTTGTCTTCAATCCTTCCCAGATCCGCTTCCCCAGACCATGCCTGTATTAAGTCCAAGACCACGGACCCAATGACGATTTTCTTCACGAGTGGGACCACTGGCTTCCCTAAAATGGCGAAACACAGTCATGGACTTGCCGTTCGATCCTACCTCCCCTCATGGTAGGAAAGAAATTAGTCTAGGTCACAGAGCTGGGATCATGTTGTGTAGTGCCTGAGGTAGCAGGCGAGGGTGGGTGGAGCTATCTGTGCGTGAAGGATGTGGAGGTGCTGTGAGTAGAGAAGAAAGTGGTGCGTGTGTGTGTGTGTGTGTGTGGTGTCTATGTGAAGAGCATGCGTATGTGGAAGATGCTTGAGAACACTATGTGGAGACTGTGTATGTGTGTGTATATTGTGGTTTTATTCCATCAAGTGGGAACCAAACCATAGCTGACCCTTCAGAGGGTTTTCAGTGACAGTAAATCACATGGGAGGAGGTCTTCTTCTGGGGAGCAGTTGGTAGACTTGAACCATGTGCCTTTGGGTTGGCAGTGCAGTATAGATATGTCTATGTGCAGGATGTGCATCTGGCAGTGTGCGAAGAATGTATGAGGGGGGTGTAGTGTGTGAGTTTTGTGTTAAAAGGGTTGTTGTTGTTAAGTACCGTCAAGTCACAGGCAACACACAGCAACCCTATGAGGGAGAGTCTTCAATGCTTGGGTGCCTTTCATCCTCTCTCCGGGTTCGTAGGGTTTCCAGAGGCAAGCTATTATGGAAGTGGATACCACCCCTCGTTCCAAGCTTGTTTAAAAGGGTAGGGTGTAAATGGAGAGTGGCTGGAGGCAGTGTATGGACACAGGAAGTGTGGTGTATGGAGACAGGAAGTGTGGTGTATGGAGATAGGAAGTGTGGTGTATGGAGATAGGAAGTGTGGTGTATGGACACAGGAAGTGTGGTGTATGGAGATAGGAAGTGTGGTGTATGGAGACAGGATGTGTGGTGTATGTGTGTAGGGTGGAGACAGCAGGCCTTGGGATGTGGAGGATGTTGAGGTTCAGTGAGTGGATGTTGTTGGGGGTTAGGGAGACATGTTTTGTTTGACTCTGAACTCTGGGGAGACTCTGAACTCTGGGGATCTCAGAGGAAAATGCTAAGTGTTTGCCCGTAGAGATGAGAATATGCCCCAATTTCAAAGTGGGAGGGTGTGAGTGACTCATCATATCCCCTCCCCAGAGGTGAAAGAGCTTCTGAAAGTTTTACCCAGTAAGTAGAGAGTTGTGTTTCTCCACGGAGCTCCACAGGGCTCCTTCACAGACATTAAGAATAGCATGGAGATATAGAAACCCTTCTCCACAGGACCTTCCAAGTATAAATTACTGTCCTTAGGCCAGAGAGCTCTGGTGGCATAGAGGTAAGGAGCTGCACCACCGACACAAAGATACGCAGTTCAAATCCACCAAATGATCCACAAGAAAAAAATGGGCAATCAGCTCCTGAGTGATTTCCTGCCTCTGAAAACCCGCTAGAGGGCCAACTGTGGGTCAGTTCCAACTCAACGGCTCACAGCAGCAACAATAACACTTAGAAGAATTGCTTCTACTTTATGCCAAGAGAGAGTATTGGGGTTCTCTCTGTCCTTTGCAAAGTAAGCTATGGCATAGTCTACAGGGAGTTTTACTGCTGACCCAAACATGGCAGTTTTCTGGTGGTTTGAATTCACTAGGGACTCTTCAAGAGAAAGACAGAAAATCTGTTTGTGTGAATTATAGTCTTGGAAACTAGCTAGAGAGTCAGCTATGAGTTGGTTCTGACCCCTTAGCAACAAGTTTGAGTTTTTGCATTTGTTTGTTGCAAATGACAGAAAGGCCAATATCTACCACTCTAAACTATGGAAGGAAGTTGTTGTTGTTGTTGTTGTTGTTGTTGTGTGCTGTCTAGTGGGAACTGATCCACAGGTGACCCTCTAGCAGGTTTTCAGAGGCAGTTAATCGCATGGGAGGAGACTGCCCATCCTTCTCCCACATAGGAGATGATATTGGTTCATGAAACAGAGATGTCTAGTGTTTGGCTTTAGGCATGTCTGGACAGCTTCTGGATTAGGATTTCATCTCTCCACCACTCAGCTTTGTCGGCGCTACGCCAATGCTCTTCTCAGAAAGGGTTATCCCATATTGTCCCCAGGAAGCTCAGGGAAACTGGGGCTAGCACTGCAGCAGACTCAAATCCAGCAAAAGCCCAGAAGACCATGCCCTAGCTTTCCAGCAAAAGCCTCAAGAATCATCATGATTGCACCAGTTTAGGACACATATGGGGGGGTGGAGGAAGAGGGTGCGTCTGCAGCTCCCTATAAGTCATATGAACTGAAGTAAGAGAGGTGGGTCCCTCCTTTCCTGAAAGCCGGAGCCTCTGAAGCCTGGTCACCTAACTGAGATTACTGTCTTTTGGAGCTAGCCGGAAATGGCTACAGCTGAAGATGACAGATACCCTATGGTGCATGTCCGATCCAGGCTGGATTCTGGCTCTCCTGGGTACCGTGCTGGAACCATGGACAGTGGGCACAACACTTTTCGTACATCACCTACCCCAGTTTGACCCCAAGGTCATTGTAGAGGTAAGCAGAAGAACTTTCCAGCACCAACAAACTCTTGGTCCATCCTAAGCAATGTTTTATTTAGCCACGAAGTCCACTACCCTTACATAATCCTGGTTCTGGAGGAACATTGAATCAAAGACTCCATGTCATTAATCGCATCAGGATGTAACTAACCTTCATGACAACACTGATTTGCAGCCTCTTCTCCAGACCTAGAGATTGGCCTTTTGTGGACATAGAGCTAGGAATACACATTTCAGCCATGAAAACAGCCAAAATTAGCCCAGAGGATCCTGGTTCCTGGTTCAACTAGGTAGTGTGTGTGTGTGTGTGTGTGTGTGTGTGTGTACTCAGGTCAGTAAAAAAATAAATACATGAAACAAACAAACTTCACACTCATTATCATCAAGTCAGAAGTGACCCATAGCTAACCATTGGGTTTCTGAGGCTGTAAATCAAATGATTCTTTCTCCCCAGGAACCCTGGTGGGTTTGAACTATGAGAGAAGTGCATGCAGTCTTTGGGTTATCAGCTCAAGTCTCTATGGACTCAGTTTGGTGACATAGTGAAAATCCATATACTTTGACTCTAACAAAGGCAGCTTCTTGTCCCATTTGTTTGTTAAGCTGACTATTTAATAAGCCTCAATTACCTTATTGGGGGTTTTAGTCATTAGCAACTCAAATAAACTCCAATAATTGTGACTATTAATCAGGTGATGTTGGGAAAGCATGTAGGGTGCTCATCCTGGAGGCTGACGCATACTGAAAGGACAGCTTTTGAGTAGATCTCAACTTACACACACCCCACACGTACCAATGTAGAACTGTGCTCCACAGAGCTTTTGATGACTGATATTTTGGGAGGAGGTCTCCAGGCCTTTCTTCTGAGGCACTGAAAAGTCAATCCCATCCTCCAACCCTTCAGTTAGGGAACTCTGATGGCCTAGTGGTAAGGAGCTGTGGTTCGAATCCACCAGATCCTCCTCAGAAGAAAGTTGGGAAATCTCCTCCCATGATATTTGCTGCTTCTGAAAACCTGCTGGGGGGTTCAGCTCTGGGTCAGTTCTGACCCAAAGTGCATAAATAAAACAACAACCACCTTTTGGTTAACTCCCAAGTGCATTAACACTTTACACAAACCAGCAAGTACAGCTCCGGGGAAGGACTCAATAAATGGTTCATCATGGTACTTGCTTTCTGTCCTCCAGGCAAAGCTGTCCTTCCACCTGTCTGAGTTCCTCTCACATAATCACCCTGGATCACTTATGTTCTTTGCTCCTCAAAGACTTCCTTTTGTCCTGAGTTTTCATTCTCTCACTCTCCTTCCTCAGTCCACAAACACATCCATAGCTCCCCATCTCCCCATCTGAAAAGTACTTTCCCTTAATTCTGTGACGCATTGGCCAACCCTGTCTTTCCTGCTTGTTCACAGAACTAGCTCTCCATTTGCTATAACCACTTCTTTTCTACCCAGTTTATCTGTGACACCACAGCTCTCACATTTTTGTCCCCTTGAGCCTTTCCCTTCTTTTGTTCCATTTGTTCATTAATTGTAAATGTGGGCAATTAAAACCTAGACTTCAGGTTTAATCTTCTCTCTTCAGGTTGTTGTTGTTACATGCTGTCAAGTTGGAACTGTGTCATAGCTGACCCTCCAACAAGTTTTCAGAGACTGCAAATGTGAGATGTCCCATCCTCTTCCTGAGGAGGAGCTGGTGGATTCGAACAGCCTGCCTTTGTGTTGGCAGCATAACTTCTTATCCACTAGACCACCAGAGCTCCCTCTCAACAGCATTGTTCATTATTCTATATCTTGAAATGTTCATTTAATAATGAATGTGACACCATTCTTCTTCATTATCATTACAAATGTAACAGATCCTTCAACTGTCTAATTCAAAACAGCCAGTGCCAGTCGTCCATCCTGTCTCGCTAATGTCTAGGAGACTTGATTCCTGCTGTTCCATTCTATCTTCTGGGCCATTCCACTTTCCTGCCTGTAGACATTGTCTGCATTTGTTAATGTCCCAACTACATACCGCCTCTTCCATAGTCTCTCAGGCCCCAGAAAACCCCACCAGAAGGAATATGCCCTCCTGCTATGTCATAAAGTTCCTGGGAGGTGAAAACAGTTAATAGTTACTAACTGAAGAGTAAGTCCAACCAGAGGTGCCTGCGGAGAATGAGCTGACTACAAGCTTCCAAAACCAGCAGCGATTAAAAATCCACAGCTGTGGGGGATGGACATACAGCATGAATGATGTGATTGGAGTGGCTGAACAGCACATGTGAGAAATACTTCATAAGCAAATAAGGTGTTAAATTTTAACGAAAATGACCCTGTGGAGCACAGGTCTACCCTGACACTCATGGGTCACCATGAGTCTCTGGCAATTTTCCCTCACATTCACCAAAATCTGCTTTCTCACTTGAGACCAGTCTTACTTGCCATAAGACTTGGAAATCTACCTTATACTTACTCTGTGAAGAGGCAAGCTATTACCAAAGTGGATGCCACTCTTGCTTCCAAGCTTGTTTTAGTCGGGGAGCTCCACCAAACACTGTCTACTATGGGTAACCATTTTCACATTTGACTCATCAGTGTCACAGTGTTCAGCTTCACAGCAACCACAAGTTACCTCTGTACAGCAATGCACAGACCAGGGATATACAACCTGGAAGAATGAGTCACCCATCTTTGGCTTGGCAGCATGACTTTCTGTCCACCAGGCCAATTGATCTCTCTCTATGTTGTTGAATAACAAGTAAATAGATTAATTTCTCCAGAGGTGAGGTTAAAACTAAAATGGTAATGATGAGCTGACAGTTTCATCTTAGTTGTAAAATATAATTTCTTTTCATTTTTCAGACACTATTCAAATACCCTATCACCCACTGCATTGGTGCACCATCCGTTTATCGCATGATTTTGCAACAGAATTTCAGCAGGTAGGGTCGAAGTGGCTGGTAATAGAAATTTTTGGGTAAGAATGTAAAAAAATCTGAATCATCCTGGTATCATTGTTTTCTCCACTGGTTCTTTGAGATAAATTGAGTCTCTGCATGTGTGTGTCTCTGTGTGTTTTGTGTTGAGTATGACAATTATCACCCAGTTCCATTCATAAATTAAACAGGACCCAAAAAAATAATCAGTGAGACTTGCATTCCTGTAGGCTTATTCTTTTAAATATATTTCATTATTAAAATAGCTGTTATGAGCTGTCATATTGGAACCAACCCATAGCGGGCCCTCCAATGAGTTTTCAGAGGCTGTAAACTTCACACTTGAATGCCCATCTGTATCCCATGGAGCAACTGGTGCATTTGAACCATCTGCCTTTGAGTTGGCAGCACAACTCCTTAGCATTAGGCCACCAGAGCTCCCTACATACATACTGAAAAATGTATGAACATAATGTTGTTGTTGTTGTTGATTGCCTTCAAGTCGAGCACGAGTCATAGTAATCTTCTCAACAAAAAGCCTGAAGCCCCTCTACACCTACTGACATTTATCAAAGTTCATAGAGTTTCTGGAGGCATGTTGTTTAGGAAGTGGATGCCACTCCTGCTTGCAAATAAACACAATACATAGGTTAATTAAATATGGAAAACATCTGTATAACCATCCATCCAAGTAATAAAAATTTCTAGCACCCTAAGACCTCAATATTTCTCTTTCTTGAAAGAAATCACCATACTGACTTTCATGGGTTTCACCTCCTTGTTTTCTTTATTGTTTCCTTCCTAATGAAATAGTTGTAAACAAAATATTCATCTGTACCTGCTTTGAATTGTACATCTGTATCACGCTTTACTCTTTTATATATTATGTCTTTAGTTCCACCTGGTATCTCTAACATATATCCATGCTGTTTACTATGACTGTAGTTTATTTCCACTGCTGAATAATAGTCTGTTTATGAAAAAGCACAATCTTTCAAATTAATTTTACTGTAAATTGACATTGTGATAGGTTCGAGTTTGGGAACTTTTACTGAATAATGACACTTTGAACTCTTGTACGTGTTTCCTATTGCACACAAACAAGCAGATCTGTCGAGTTTTCTCTAGTAGAGAAATTAGGAGATCACGTTCACATCCTGTATTACAACATATTTCCGAAAATAATGAATCAAGTTATGGTCCTGCAAGTAGGTTAGGACCATTCCTGTCGTTTTACATGCTTGCTATTGTCATGTTTTCATTTTTAAGAAGTCATCATCTATGAGTCGCAAAAACTCTATGAACAACAGATCTGACCCTTCCACTGTCCTGCACCATCTTTACAACCTCTGGTATGTTTGAGACAGTGGTGGCAGTCACTGTGTCAATCCATATTGTTGAAGGTCTTCCTCTCTTTCACTGACACTCTACCTTTCCTACTATGATGTCATTTTTCCAAGAACTAGTCTCTCCTGAAAACATGCCCAAACTAAGTGAGATAAAGTTTCACCTTCCCTGCTTCTAAAGAACGCCCTGAGGAGTCAGCTGGGTGATCTTTTTGTTGTTGGGTTTTCACACGTTCCTGTGTTGAATGTTACTACAACTTCTCACATAGTATTTTATGTATAATGGGCCATAATATATTATGAAACAAATCTATGCTATGAAACATACCTAAATACACTATGAAACTTTAACAAAACACAAACAGTGCAAAGAAAACTAGATATTTGGTATTGTCTAGAAACCAAACACTCGTGTGCCTCAAAAGTCTTCACAAAAAGACTAAAAAAACAACCTACAGAATGGGAATATTTTTGACAATGACAGTATATTGGGATTTCCTGGACAATGACTAGGAATGATAAAAGGAGAATTGATGCCTCTGAGCTGTGATGCTGGAGAGGAGTATTGACTATACCATGAATTGCTAGGAGAACACACAGCTTTGTCCTAGAGAGGGTGAAACAAGGCTGCTCCTTGGATGCAAGGATTCTGAAGCTCCATCTGACATACTTTGGGCATGTTGCAAAGAGGGACCAGTCCTTAGAAAAGGACATCATGTTTGGGAGGATAGAGGACCAGTGCAAGAGAGGAAGACCATCAATGAAATGGATTGATTCAGTGACTGGGATAATGGGAGTAGGTGTGTCAGAGACCATAAGATTGGCGCAGAGCAGGGTTTAGGGCTGTTGTACATAGGGTGGCTATGAGTCAAAGGTGACTTGACAGCACATAATAACAACAACAACAAGGTTGTAATCTTTAGTGAGGAAGCTCTGGTGAACTAAGGAAATCAGTGAGCAGTCTCCTCTCATGTGATTTCTAGCTTCTGAAAACCTACTGGAGAGATAACTCGGAGTTGGTTCTGACTCAATAGTATACACAACAACAGTGTAAGAAAGACTTATTTTGTGATGTGTCATCAACTTCAAGATATCAATCAGTTTCAAAGGAAAGAGGCTTGATTTTGAATTACATAATGAAACTCTCCCTCCATCCCTGAAACATTGCGTTCATTGTTCAAACTGGCTCTCTTAGTCATTGCACTTGTTTGCCCCGTGGATGGCTGGGGTCACACAAATAGGGCATGTTAGTCTAGCCACAAGGGGACTCTCCATTAAATTGAGCAGATCCAGCAACAGAAATCTGAGACTCTCATCACCAGCAAAGAATAAGTAGAGAATGCAGCTCATGATCTCTGGGACCAAAGATTTCTGCACCACTGAGACCAAGGTCTACCAGAAGGCAGTGGCAACCACAGCCAAGACCCAATGTGAGAAAGAACTAACCTTAAGACTGCTGACCCAAGGAACCAGAGCCAGAGCTATTCACCCAAGCTTGCTGGAGGTCTAGAGTGGGGAAAGGGGAGATGCCATAATTGGTAAAACAAATAGAGATATTTTTTTAAACGCTCTCCGAAAGCCCCAAGGCTTAAGGTTGAAGGGTCTGCAACCATGCTTGATAAGCTGTCTGAACTGAGAGATTGTAGACTGCTGCCAAACTGAATTATAACCTGCTAACTTCCCTAATAAGATTTATAACTGTGATATGGTTTTGTAAAGTCTGTATAGGTGTTGCAACAGATGTCTAACCCAGTAGTGCAGTAAGATTGATACTAGAATTAGTAGAAATAGGCAAGTGAGCTCAGGGGACATCTAACCTCATGGGAATTGGTTTTGTGGCTGTTGTTGAAGGGAACTATTTTGCCTGTGCAACTGGTATCTTAACAGAAGTAAAGTAGTGAGGAACAGGCTTGAACTGAATTGCTGTGATTGTAGAACAGGTTTTGAGATCAAGCAATGTTAATCCTCCTACTTTGTTCTTTAGTAATGCTTTGTTTTTCTGAGACCTCTTTGCTTCTCATATAAAGTTGATAATCTCTTTAAAAAAGTGATGGTGGAATCTGGATCAGGATTGTATCTGTAGATTACTTTAAGTAGTATTGACAAAAGCTTAAGCATAGTATAATCTAATTATATAGGTCTCCTTTGGCTTCTTACAGTAATGTTTTGTAATATTTTTTAAATTTTTTAATGCTATATATTTCTATCTCTATATATTTACAGCATATTCTTCCCATTTAATTTTTCCCCACTCATTTATTGCTGCACATTTTCCTCCTTTCCCACCCTCCCCTCAGTTCACTTTTCTCTTTGAACAGAAAAAAAAATTCTTTCATTGTTATATAAACACCCCACCCCCCAAGTCCACAGTCTACTATGTATTTCTTTTTCTGGAATCTTGTCATGAAGATAATACCTAGTCACATACTCCTTTTAAACAATTTTTGTATAGGTTTATTGTGCCTCTAGGGAATTCTGATAGTTTAGTGGTAAGGAGTTGTATTATCAATTCAAAAGCACACAGTTTTAATTCACTAGCTACTCTATGGGAGAAAGATGGGAAATCTTGTTATGATATACAGCCTCTGAAAACCAACAATTGTGTCTTTCTGTTTACCTAGAAATGTCCTAATTTCACCATCATAATTGAGGGACAATTTTATTAGGTATGTAATTCTTGTCTGGGTTTGGTTTTAGCCCAAGAAATCAGAGCTTAATCTTATTGGTTCTCATGAATAGGTAACTTTTCCTGTTTCTGAGCTGCTTAAGAATTCTTTGTCTTTGGTTTTGGGAAGCTTGATTTTCTCTTGATGGTCTGGGTGTATGGCAAGAAGGGAACCTGTCCTCTTTGGAATACGTTGAGATTCTTGAATGTTATGTCATCTGATCTTTCATAATATTAGAAAGGTTTGCTTTCAACAATCTTTGACAGTTTTCTTTTTTTATTTTATTATTTTTTTTATTTTTGTGTGCGTGTACCGTCAAATCAGATCTGACTGGTACAGGAGGAGATTGCCCCTCCTTCCCCGGCAGAGCATCTGGTGGATTCGAACCGTGCACCTCTGGTATTGTAGTTGCAGCTTCTTGCCACGAGGCCACCAGAGCTCCCCAATCTTTGACAATTTTCTTGATGGTTGTTCTGTATTTTCCTGTTGCAGAATTTCAACCATATGCAAATTATTCCTCTTAATTATGTCCCATATAATTCTTAAGTGGTTTTAATTTTTCACTTGTTTTCTGTTTATTCCTCTAGCATACTAAAACACAATTTCACTAACTCTGTCCTCTATTGATTCAATCCACTCCAGTGTCTTGGGATATCTTTTAATTAAAAAACATTACCTTATATTGGTTTACATGCAAAATCTGCGTTCATTGTGTTTCACATTTTCCGTCATTCACATTGTATTCATTCCCACACATTGTCCAATGTATTGTTTAGTATTAATCTTCTAGATTTCTATTTGCTAGTTTCTAATTTTTCATTTATTTTATTAATTTGTTCCTACTGTTTTCTTTGGTTCTTCCATAGCTTTGTCTCTGATTCCTTTGATTTTGTCTGTGGGCTCTCTGATATCTTTCTTAATCTACTGAAAAGACTTTAGTATACATCTTCTGAATTCTTTATCTGGTAGTTCCAATATCACCTGTTCCTCCAGAATACTTACTGATTCTGTATTTTGATCAATTCTTCTTCTCTAAGAAATTTCTGGTTTTAGCTCTTAAGGTCTTCAAATGATTGAATATGGCCCATCCACATTATCAAAGTTGTTTCCTTTATTTAAAGTCAAGTGAATGTTGATGTTAACCAAATATACAAAACCTTCAAGGGAACATCTAGAATAAAGTAAACTGTACTCTCGTGGCCTAGACAGTAGTGTTGTTAACCCAAAGGCCACACCTCTCTAGTAATTCAAACACACAAATGAATCCATAGGGGAAATATAAGCAATCTCCTCCCTTGTGATTTACAGCCTCAGAAACTACAGCTATAATCTGCTTTGAGTAAGTTGAAACTCTATAGCAGGTATCTCAAGTACTAGCCTCAAGTACCAAGTTAAAGACTTACAGGTTGGACTCACTCAACAGCACTACAGAAGAAAGTCCTGGTCAATTTCTGTTAAGATTATAGGGAAAACCTTCCCAAAAAACACCCCCACAAAACCCCTATGGAGCAATTCTATTCTGTTCATATAGGGTTGCCATAAGTTAGAATTGTGACTCGATGGTGATGCATTATGATTTATAGCCTAGTCAAGTTGACAAACATAACAAACCAGCATTCCTTCTGTAGAAGGCAGAAACATTTTGTTACTATTTTAATATGTCCTTAATGCCTTGTTATTCACCCACTAGGCATTGACCTTGGCTAAATACCCAGAAGATGAGGAAGAAAAGGATTACAGATAATAATACAGATAACAAAACTACATTTACTCCTTTTGATATTGGATCTGGGCACAACCTCCAAGGTTCTCCTTGAGATCTGTTGACTCCTTGTGTTCTCCTAAGTCTTAGGTTCCCAACCCTGGAGCACTGCAGTACTGGAGGCGAGTCTCTGTTGCCTGAAGAGCTGGAGAAGTGGAAACAAAAGACAGGCCTTATACTCCATGAGGTCTACGGACAGTCGGAAACGGTAAGTGACAGCGCCAATCTGGATGCCTTCAGTCATCAAGACCAGTAAATGAGCTCAGTCAGACCATGACTTTACTATGCGCACAACATTACTGGAAGCGTTATAGACAGCTTGAAAATCCTAGGCAAACTGCCCAGAATCAATTTAAAGAAAGACAATTTATCAAAAGATAAATGTGCGGAAAACTTTGGAGCAAAACTTAGGAGTCTAAGGACATTTTGCCACAGTTCCTATGATCAATAGCTGAGAGAACTCAGGAATATCGGTGGAATAGTAGGTTTTAGCCAGCACAGTTATTACCAGTAAGTTCTTCCGACTCTACTACCTTTCCCCAGGGCAACAGATATGGAGGAAGTGTGGGAGTGGACTCCAGAAGTTCATTAATGAGCATTTATGAGGTCAGCACACAAGTGTGATTGTGGGGAAACTAGAGGGATGAGGAGCACAGAAATGTTTGTATACACCGTGTGTGCACACATATACATGCACACATATGGTGTCATCCCCAAAAGGTCTCTGATCACAGAGCTTCCAGGTGAGCAAGACATTTCGAATATTAAAGAAGTTTGAAACCTGAAGGATTTTACCAATGATTGGATTGGTGAGCATCTCTGGTGGCTTAGTGGTAAGGAGTTGCATTTCCAATCCAAAGGAAGACAGATCAAATCCACCAGCCGTTTCAAGGAAGAAACATGAGAAATCTCTTCACATGTTATTTACTGACTCTTGAAACCTAGTGGGGGGACAGCTCCATATCACTTCTGACTCAATGGTACATAGCAACAACAACAGCATAACAGGGATCATAAGGATTCAAGCCACAACCTATCACAGGGATGGTACAGGGTTGGGCCTCAGTAATGCTATGCTTCAGAGTGTATGGGACAGCTATGAGCCAGGGGATGGATCAGTGACAGTTAATAGCAACAGTATGAACAATGACAGGACCCAGAATACATTCAAGTACAAGCCCTCTTAATTGCAGCCTTCATATGTCACTCAAATTCCTTACTTCTAAAGTGGTAATGATGCTTCTGATCTTGCAGAGTTATTTAATCTTGTAATAAAGTCAGTCTAAGAAAGTATATAAAGGTCTGCCTACAGTTCTCAGGCCATATTATGTGTTCACATTGTAGTTACTATTGTAATTTGGTAGGCAAAGATTCTGGGAATGCAGAGATGAGTGGGACAATCACTATTCTTAAGATGTTTATGGGATACCAAGGAAACAGAGAAAGAATTCTAATGTCTTCTAATAGAAGTATAGGGGAGAAGATTACAGCAAACTTTCCCATTTGTCTTCACTGTTGAATAGCGAGTGGTAGTCATGACACTATTCATTAGAAAGACATAGACTTACTTATAGAAAGTGAAGAAGACTGAAGCACTTACTGAAGAAAATAAAAGCTTACAGCTTTCAGTACAGATTATACTTCAGCAATAAGAGAATAAAAGTTCTCACCACGAGACCTACAGGCGACATTATGATAGTTGGAGAAAAGACGTAAGTTGTCAAGGATTTCATTTCATTTGGCTCCACAATTAACACCCATGGCAGCAGCAGTCAGAAAAATCAAAACATGTTGCACTGGGAAAATCTGCTGTCAAGGACCTCTCCAGAGTTCTAAAGAGCAAGGATGTCAGTTTAAGACCTGAGAAAAGACCTGATCATCTGTTTTTAGAGAAATTCACTCGCTCACTCATTGCTGTAGAGTCAGTGTTGACTCATAGCAATCCTCCGTCAGGTTTCAGAGGCTATAAATCATTATGAGAGATTAATCATCTTTCTCCCGCAGAGGCCCTGGTGGATCTGATCTACGTGGCCTTTGAGTTAGCAACACAGTGTCCTCCAGATCACACCATCATAGTACTTTTATTTATAAAGATTGTGTTGTTGTTGTTGTTGTTGTTGTTGTTGTTGTTATGTGCCATCGCGTTGCCCGCAACTCATAGTGACCCTATGCACAATAGCTCTGAATTCTGTCCTATCCTGAGCCAGTTTCACTGACTCTGACACACCTACCCCCATTGTTCCAGTGACTATATCAACCCATCTCATCTGGAATCTTCCTCTCCTGTGCTGTCCCTCCACCCTTCCAAGAATGATGTCTTTGTCTATGATCCCTCCTGGCCACATGCCCTAAGTATGTAAGACAGAACTTCAAAATCCTAGCCTCCAAGGAGCAGCTTGGTTTCACCCTCTCCAAGACAAATCTATTTCTCCAGCACCACAATTTAAAGGCATCAATTCTTCTGTCATCTTGACTCATTGTCTAGCTCTCTGATGCATAGCAAGTAATTGCAAAGGCCATGGCCTGGATCAGGAGCACTTTAGTCTCTAGACTGACATCATTGCTTCTCAGTACTCTGGAGAGGTCCCTGACAGCAAATTTTTCCCAGTGAAATTCATCTTTTGATTTCCTGACTGCTGGTTCCAAGAGTGTTGATTGTGAACACCCTAGAAGACCCTATAGGATAGTTTTCCTCTCTCATATAGCATCAATATAAGGTGGAATCTGCTCAAGGACATACCATAACATTTCTCAAACACTTAGTTTGTGTAAGACACTCATAGTCATGGTCCTCAAGATCATTTGGCACAATATAGTCCACAAGATAATTTTCTAAAACGTTTATGAACTGTGGAAGGAGATTGAAACACTTGTGAAGAACTATGCATGGTGCAACTGTTGGTCTTTCTTCATCTGGAGTCAAAAAGACTAAAGAAAGTAAAAGACGATTAGTCCAAATGTGAACTCTGGTGTTGCCAACTCAAAGGCATGCTGTTTGAATCTACCAGCTGCTCCATAAGAGAAAGATGGGCAGTCCCTTCCTTTGCGATTTACTGCCTCTGAAAACCTGCTGGAGGGTCAGGTATGAGTTGGTCCCAAGATGAAAGTACATAATAACAACAGAAACAACATTATTCCAAAGGATGTATGGACCACAAGAATGTATGTCTCCATGACTCTGAGATCAAATGATTTCATTCCTCTGAATTAGATCACAATAATAGGTCCATGGTAGAACGGGAGAAAAATCATTTAAAGGGGGGGTAAAAAAGTCTAGACTTCGTAGTCTGATGGAGATTAGTGGGACCCCTGAGTTTATAGCTTTTAGTCACCCTTCAAATCTGGAACTGAAAATATTCTCAGCTCCCAGCTCCCAGCCACAGAACAGAAGATTGCAGAAGGTGGTCAATGACCTTAGGGAGGAATGCCTCCTTGGAGAAATCAGCCACACAAGAGAAACCACAAAGGCAGCACTTGCCCAGGGGTAAAGCTCAGAAGGCAGGAAGAGATGAAAAAGAAGAACTAACTCTTTGCTATTGTGAACAAAGCCGCGAAAAACATGGGTGTGCATATATTTCCTTGAAGGCAGTTATGGTTTCTTTGGGGTATATTCCAAGTAGTGGAATTGCTATGTATACTGCAATGAAACAGACGAGGGAGTGAACTGTTTAAAAGGGATATTTGTTGTTGTTGTTGTTATGTGCCGTCGAGTTGTTTGTGACTCATAGCGACCCTATGTACAACAGCCCTAAACCCTGCTATATCCTGTGCCAATCTCATTGCCTCTGACACACCCATCCCGATTACCCCAGTCACTGAATCAATCCACCTCATAGAGGGTCTTCCCCTCCTGTGCTGTCCCTCTACTCTACCCAGCATGATGTCCCTCTCTAAAGACCTGTCTCTCCTTACAACATGTCCAAAGTATGTCAGACGAAGCCCCAGAATCCTTGCCTCCAAGGAGCAGCCTGATTTAACCCTCTCTAGGATGAATCTGTTTGGTTTTGTTTGTTTGTTTGTTTGTTTGTTTGTTTGTTTGTTTGTTTTCTTGGCAGTCCACGGTACATTCAATACTCTTCTCCAGCACCACAGCTCAAAGGCGTCAATTCTCCTTCTATCCTCCCTAGTCATTGTCCAACTCTCTGATGCATAACAAGTGATTGCAAAAACCATGGCCTGTATCAGGCATATGATCAGGTATTATTGTCATGACAGGAATTCAGAATGAAGGCTGCATAGTGGAGTGGACTTGCGGGGAAGGATTGTATAACAATGAAAGAATTTTTCTTTTCAAAGTGAAAAGTGAACTGGAGGGGAGGGGTGAACAGGGAGAAAAGTGCAACAATGAATGAATGGAAATCCAAAACCTCTGTAAATTTTCATTAAAATTAATAATAAAAGAAATTTTAAAAAAGAAGAACTAATGGGAAGGGGAAACTCAGGGAGGACATGCGAAAATGCTGTAACGTGGGGATAGTAATCCACCATCACGAAGCATTCTTTTAGAACTACACAGCACGCAGGAGCAATGATCTTGTAATTAACTACTTTTATAAACTCCATAAACATAAAAAAATGATGTTCATTGTAGAACAGACTTCAGGTCTTTTGTTCATTGGGTCGCTATGTATTTGACCTGACGACACTTAATCACTGCTAAGTGAGACTAGTGTTGCTATATTTTGGAGGAACATTCTTCTACTTTGAACATCACTGCTTGTCAGTTTGCTGCACTGAGGTAATCTAGGTTTGCTGTGAGGCTGAACCTGTGACACTGCGGTATCAAATACCGTAAAAGTTTACCAGTGTGGACAGTGTTTGGTGGAGCCCCCAGTTGTAGGACAGGTTTGGAAGCAGGAGTGCCATGCACATCCTAAACCACAGGCTTATGAAAACTCTAGGAACTTGGAGAAAATGATAGAAAAGCATTAGGTCTTTTGTTCATGGAGTCACTGAGTCATGCTCAACTCGACAGTAATCAACAACAAAAACAGCTAAGTAACTTGGGAGGGACTGGAGAGCGTTTATGCTAACTGGATGAATTAACTCAGTCCCTTAAGGACAAACATTGTATAAAACCATTACTGTAGAACGAATATAAGGATCCAAGGCGGGGAAGGAGGGAGCAGAGGGGCGAAAATGAGTTGGGGGGCGGGGATGGTTATTCATAGAGATGCACAATTTGATGGGTGGGGGGCCGAGCTGGTGAAGCCAATGGGAAAGATTAGGTGTGAAAAACAACATATACAAACTTTGTAAGTAAACCAGTATCAAAAGAAGAAAAAAAAAAAGACACTATACAACAAAGGGGTAAATTTTAGAAAACAAATGTTTAAAAAAAAGAAACATTTTATTAGATCATCGAATGAAAAGTCCATTTGCTCTGTAAATTTTCATTCAGATCACAATAAAAAGTTTTAAAACAAAAAAAAAAGAGAATCTGACTGTGAAACAAAAATATCTGAGAAGCTGGATTATACGAAGAAAAATCAAGTCCAATATTGTGAAGTCAATGCCAACACAGAGCGGCCATATTGAATAGATTAGAATGGGCCCATAGGGTTTTATTGGCTGTAATCTTGGTGGGAAAAGACCACAAAGATCACCACCTTTCCTTCTATGGGACCATTGTAACTGCTGACCTCTGGATAAACTGCCATGCCTTTACCACTGCACTCAGGACAACTGGTAACCGGAATGTCAAGAACTTCAAAATCATTTTGAGCAATTGTTGACACAGGATTTCTGTTACTGTCCAACAGCCTCTAATAAATCCTTAGTAAATGGAATCTTGGCTTCCTCCTGGAAAACTGGTATGTTCTTGCCGTACGTTGGGTGTCTAACACCCTCCCCCCCCCACACACACACACACATTATACTCCCACAGTGACTTGCCCTGGGCTTATTTCATCACTGACTTACAATCTCCTGAGAACTCAGTAGCCACTACCGACAGGATTGGCCCTTGTTGTGTCAGCTGAGTATGGCTGACCGCAGCCCAAACCATCCTCTCTCTCCAAACATGGGCTTCGTGCACAGATCAAGTAACATCCGTGAGGAAGGAGTGCTGTGCATAATTCTTGCTGCCTGGTGAGCAATTCATACTCGCTTGTCAAATCTAATCCTCTTCGTCTTTGTTTTGTTTTGTTTGCTTTTCTTTTTTGATAGGGAATAACTTGTGGTGTTCTCAGGGGAATGAAGATTAAGCCAGGTTCCTTGGGGAAAGCCATCTTACCCTATGATGTCCAGGTGCGACCCACAGCTAAGAATCATCAGGGTTTGGCTGGGATTAGATCACATGAGGGAAGAAGTCATAGCCAGCCCTGTGTCTGGGCCCCACTGGTCCTTCCTCCTCTCTCCCTTTGTTTCCTCCAATTTCCTGTAGAAGCATCCACTGAGAATGGCAGTGTCGTGGGCCCCCTAATGAGAATGGCAGTGTTATGGGCCCCCTAATGAGAATGGCAGTGTCGTGGGCCCCCTAATGCAGCTTGCCCTGGCCACAAGAGATATCACACAAAGTCACCAGGAACAGAGTAGGTCTGGCAGCTCTCTCCACCAGCCAGGTCCTTCTGTTTTACTTCAACAACGTGTTCTAGGAGAAGCACATGCAAAATCAGGATGTCATGTTTCATGGCAAGGACCAGGCTCTGTTTTGTTCCTTTAAACCTAAGACCGTCATGGGTCACAGCCTATTCAACAGCAACCAGAACATGGTCATGAACCCAACAGAATCATATGACTTGTAACCTCACCATTTACTGGTTTCAAAGACTTTTGACCATTTGATTATCTTTCCAGTGAGGTTTTCTCCACCAATACCCTTTCACAATTATCCATGCAGGTGCCACAGGAATGAGCAAGGTGTTGTTTGGGTGGAACAGGAGGGTTGGGGGAGCCTTTCAAGGTGGGATTTACAGACCTCTTGCCCCAGATCATTGACGACAAGGGCAACATCCTGCCTCCCAACACAGAAGGAAATATGGCCATCAGGATCAAACCCATCAGACCGCTGGGCATCTTCACCTGCTATGAGGTAAGGACATGGCAGAATCTCTCCAGTTCAGCCCATATGAGAGATCAGGGGTGGCCACACTGTGTATCCCACAACTTCTTCAGATCTTCCACCATTGCTCCAAGTCATCATACTCACCTCCCCCTGAGCCCAAGGTCTTAGTGCATTTCTCCAAGGAGTCCCGTGCATATTTGGGGGAGACACGCTACATGGCCCCATGCCACAAAGGAAGAATCTGCGGCTTGAAAAGTTCTAGGACTCCATGTTATCAGACTCAAAGCCAATGTCCTCTGGCCCCAAAGCCCTTTGCTCACTAATTTGTGGAAGGAGACCTAAATGAGAAATCCAAGGATTACAGGCAACACTGACAGGCTGGAAGGAAACCCGTTGAAACTCTTTATCTAAACAACCCACAAGTTTCCCATTTTAGGAGTGACAGGTTCTCATCTTCCAGGATTTCCGCTGAAATCTGATCTCACACTTCATCTCCTTTTTCCAGAAGTAAAAGCCATTGGCGGCCAACCGGCTATCATGGTTGTCCTCCAGGGGGCGCTGCTCCACTTGTGATACAAATTGCCCTGAAACAAACATGTAGGCCTTGACCTTAACCCTCAGGAGCTCAGCTTTAATTTTTAGATAAATGGGATGCTATCATGGTTGCCCTTGCATCTAGCCTCCAGGGGGCGCTACTCCACTTGTGATACCAATTGCCCTGAAACAAACGCGTGGACCTTGACCTTAACCCTCCGTAGGGTTAAGTTTAAGTTTAGATAAATGGGAAAATAACCAGAGAGTAACATGCATAGAGGTCAAGGGTTCTCAACCTTGCCTGCATAAACATTTAGGAAATGACAAAATTAAAGACATGGAGAACAGACTAGTCATTGAGAGAGTTTAAAGGCAGGGGAGAGGGAGAGGAGGGGAAACAGGAAGCAGGAAAGAAGTGGGGTGGTGATAAACCACCAACACAAGAGCTTCTTGTCATGATGCCACTGCTCTGTATACAGACTGTGGTGGCAGGTACACAAACCCACTCAGATAATAAGATGGAAAGCAACTAACTACACACGCATGCAAATGAATACAGGAAAATCCAGAAATCTGAGTCAGACTAAGGGATTGTATCCGTGTCAATATCCTTGTGGGTTAGAAGATATTTCCACTAAGGAAAATAAGTAAAAAGTATACAGGAGCTATAGATAGATAGATAGATGATAGATAGATAGATAGATAGATAGATAGATAGATAGATAGATAGATGATAGATAATTAGTAAATTTTAGGAAGCTCTGGTAGCTTATTGATAAGTGATTATTGATAAGTGATTCCACTGCTAATCCAAAGACATATGGTTCGAATCCAACACCTGCTCTTTAGAAGAGATATGGGAAGTCTCCTCCTGTGTCATTTATTGCCTCTGAAGACCTGCTAGAGGGCCAACTTTGGATTAGTTCTGACTCGATGGTGCTCAAAAATGTTGTTGTTGTTGTTGTTATGTGTCATCAAGTCACTTGCAACTCATAGAAAGCCCATGTACAACAGCCCTATACCCTGCACTATCTGTGTCAATCTTATTGTCTCTGATGCACCTGACCCCATCACCCCAGTCACTGAATCAATCCATCTCATCGAGGATCTTCCTCTCTTGCACTGTCGGACCTCCACCCTCCCATAACATCTCTCTCCAAGGACTGGTCCCTCCTTTCCAACACGTACAAAGTATGTCAGATGAAGCTTCAGAATCCTTGCCTCCAAGAAGCAGCTTGGTTTCACCCTCTCCAGGACAGCAAACCTGTTTGTTCTCTTTGCAGTCTATGGTATATTCAGTATGCTTCTTCAGCACTGCAGGTGAAAGGCATCAATTCTCCTTCTATCATCCCTAGTCATTGTCTAGCTTTCCGACACATAGCAAGTACTTACAAAGACCATGGTCTGAATCAGGCACACCTTAGTCTCCAGACTGACATTGTTGCTCTTCAGTACTTTGGAGAGGTCTCTGACAGCAGACTTTCCCAACAGCAGTCAAGCTTTAGTGTGTCTTCAGTGAAAGTTTACACATAAAATTTGACTCTGATTTGATAATATCTAAACAACTTGTCCAGCGGCACTTGTTCCATTTTACGTAGTCTGTCATGTTTCTCACTGCTTCCAGGAATCTAGTTTCCCTGTCTCTATATAATTTCTGTACATATGTCGAAATAAGAAGTTTAATTATTAAATACAAGTTATGTACTCAAAAATACCAGAAACCGATGAGATTGTGTTCTGGGAAGAAATATTTCTTATTTTTCCCTTAAGACCGCCCAGATACCAAGCACTACATGTGCACTGAGTGCCCTACAATGAGTAAAAGAAGCAGGGTCCCTGCGTCCAGGGAAATGTCATTTCAGTGAGTTGTTTCCTAAATTGTCCTTAAAATTGGCTTAATAAAGCCCTGTTACAAGATAGTAGCACGTGTTAAGGAAACGCATAAAGAAAATAGACTCAGAGAGATTACAGACCTTGTCTGAGAACCAGATAGAATCAGGCAGGACTTGAACCCAGCTCTGAGCTCCAGGTCCTCGCTCACAGCCTCTCCACTTGCTAACTTCAGTGCTTTTTTCTCTCTGCAGAATGACCCAGAAAAGACAGCCCAAGTGGAGTGTGGGGACTTCTACAACACGGGAGACAGAGCCATTAAGGATGAAGAGGGCTACTTCTGGTTTGTGGGAAGAGATGATGACATCATCAACGCCTCTGGGTAGGTGCGGCTGACCGTTGGCCAGCAGGTGCCCCCTCCACACGAGGAACAGTTTGCCGCATCATTCCTCCATGCATCTGTGAGGGAACCCTTAGCCTCATTCCAAACAGAACCCAATCCAAGGACTCTCTTCTAGGGTGTGTCCGTGTGTGCACCTCCCTCAAACTATGTGTCCAGAAGATTCCATCAAAATGACACTCAAGTGGGTCTGAGGGATGGAAACAAACTTGTAACAAGACATACAAACTTGTAACAAGACATCTTGTCACTTAGGGTGATGGGATCAGAACAGGGACAGGATGTCACAGGAGAAACATAACCACTTTGATGAAGTGTTTGAGGAGCTCTGTTGGCCTCCTGGACAGGGAATTGCATTACCCAAAGGCAGGAGGTTCAAATCCACCAGCTACTTAGTGGGAGAAAGGTGGGCAATTTCCTCCCATGTGGCTTAAACCTTGGAAAATCCGCTGCAGGCTCAGCTATGATGAGCCCCTTCCAACTCGACAGCAATGAGTTCTTCTGTGTTTACGGAACACTGAAGGAGCTCTCGTGGACTAAGACCTGTGCGGTATGGTGTCCTGCTTAACCAAAAGGTCTGGTGTTTGAATCCAGCCACTGCTCCACAAAAGACAGGCAATCTTCTCCCAGTAAGCTTTCCAGCTTTGGAAAGCTATGGAAGCTCACTAGGAGTTGAAGCAAATACTCAAGTTCAGTGAGTGCGGTGCATTTGTTGTTGCTGTTGATTGTCGTCAAGTCAAGGTCAACTCATCGAGACTCTATGAACAAAAGATCGAATGCCTTTCCAGAGCTATCGTTGTTTCTCCAAGTTCATAGAGTTTCCAGAGGCATGTGGTTTAGGAAGTGGATGCCACCACTGCTTCCCAACCTGTTTTACAACTGGGAGCTCCACCAAACACTGTCCACATTGGGAAACCATTATGGTATTTGGTATCCCCATGGCACAAGGTTCAGCATCACAACAACCCAGGTTACTTCATACATCAACAAAGAGTGATATGTCAAGTGGAAGAATGTTCCTCCAGAAATAACAGCACTAGTCTCATTTAGCAGTGGTTAAGTGTTGTCGAGCCTAATATGACTTAGGGTAAGCTTTGCACAAAAAAATCTTAACTCCGTTCTATAATGAATATATTTCTGTGCATTTTTAAGAGAGTTTATAGAGTTTCCAGAGGCACCTAGTTTAGGAAGTAGATGCCATTCCTGCTTCTCAACATGAATCAATCTGGAAGCTTATCCAAACATTGTGCACTTAGGATATAGAAAAATTAACCCAAAATATTTTCTGTCAACTCAGTTGACTCACCCTCAAAGCTCAGCTGTTGTTTTCAGTTGCCCCAATCAGCACCAAACTTATACACATCTCACATATTTCAGAGTAGATTTCTTGGCAGAGCACAGGCCTTTCTTCTGTGGAACCACTGGGTGGATTTGAACTGCCAGACTTTGGGCTAGTGAGCCTCTTGTGCCCTCAGGCTTCTTCAGTGGTAATGTTGTTGTGTACTGTCAATTGGAAACTGATCCATAGCTGAGCCTTCAGCTGGTTTTCAGAGGCAGTTAATCACATGGGAGGAGATTGTCCATCCTTCTCCCACCTCAGTGGTAGAGGCAGATGCTATTTTGTATCCATTTTGTTGTTGTCGTTGCTGTTTGTTGTAGTTATGAGCCACTGAGTCACCTGGGACTCATAGTGACCTTGTGTACAGCAGCTCTGAAACCTGCCCACTGACTTTGACACACCAACCTCTATTGCCTCCATTACTGTATCAATCCATATTATCCAGGATCTTCCTCTTCTACACCGTCCCTCCACCCTTCCAAGCATGATGTCCTTTTCCAAGGGTCGATCCCTCCTGGCCACCCAAAGTATATGAGACGAAGCTTCAAAATCCTAGCCTCCAAGGAGAAATTTGGTTTCACCCGTCCCAAGACAGACCTATTTGTTTTCTTGGTGGCCCATGGTATGTTCTTCATGCTAAAATGTACACATAGGTTCGAAATCCTTATGTGCCTATTTGAGGATGAGGAAAATAAGTCATACAGTAAAGAAGACTGAATTCTCAAAGATACTATATTAAAATCAGGGCCTTTCTTACTAACTTATTAAAATAACATAAAACTGAGGTGGTCTGGTTTTGAGCCCCTGTTCCAAATGCCAACATTAAAAAAAAAATTATCCTGGAGCAACAATTCTTAGAAGTTTTACAGCAATTTAAGTTGGCTTTGGTTTTTTTGTTTTGTTTTGTTTTGTTTTCACTTCTAAAGCCATATATCCTGGGAGGTAAGAGGGAGGAGGCTAACATGTCTTGGAGAAGATGCAGTCAGAGTTCTCCTTAGAGACCAGATGGAGAAACTTCTCACATGTTTTGAGCATGTTGCTGGGAGACATTATTCTTTGGAGAAGGGCAACATTGCTTGGAAAGGTGGGGGGATGGTGAAACAGAGGAATGCCTTCAACCAGGTGAATTGACCCACTGATTTCAGCAATGGACTTGAGTGGTCAGCGTTTGTGAGTCTGGTACAGGATAGCACAGGGTTCAGGTCTGTTGTTCAGAGGGTCGCTATGAGTCATTCTTAATTGCACGTGACAAGAAGACAACGATGAATTTAAATGAATGGTTAAGACATAAATTGAGGCGGGCTTCTAAGGCATGTCACGTTGGTGGCAGATGCTTGATCCAAGGACCCAGTGCACATGGTCCTTTGGCCATCTGGAGCAATAGGAGTCCTGGGGTGCATCTGAACTTGGGTTTTCTTAGCACATAGTGTAGAGGTCTGCATGGTTCTGGCCCCCAACCCAGGCCCTGGTGCATGGCCATCTGTGTCAAGGGATGATGTGACTGTCCAGAGGCAGCTGCTATTTGGGCCACGGGGTGTCCTTGTCTTGACATCTGCCTGAGAACCAATGAAAGAAGGGATCGCTGATACCTTGCAGGTACCGGATCGGGCCTTCAGAAGTGGAGAACGCCCTGGCGGAGCACCCTGCAGTAGCAGAATCTGCCGTGGTGAGCAGTCCGGACCCCATTCGTGGGCAGGTGAGTGCAGTGTGATCCTTCCTGTTTGTGTGCGAGCCCTGGAAAGACAGGAGCTGACAAACGTCATAGCCTTGGTCCTCTGTGCACTTACACTGAGGGCCAGCAGGCGGCACTGTGGCGTCGTCTGTGGCTCTGGAAAGACCTATGCTGGTGGTGCTGGTGAGAACAGCTAGTATTTAATGAGCAACTACTACGTGCCAGCTCATCTAACTCTCACAACTCGATGAGTTAAGGATTTTCATTCTATCCTTTTAATAGCTAAGGATCTATCCTTGTTTTTACTAAGTGCAGTCAGCTACCTAGAGCTTGACACTTGAACTCAACCAGCAAAACTACAGAAAAAAAGGCTTGTTGATTTCCTTTCACAAAGATGGTTGTTTTGTTGTTGTTGTTGTTGTGTGCCGTTGAGTGCGAATCCATCCATAACTGATCCTCTTAGAGGGTTTTCAGAAGCTACTAATTGCATGGGAGGAGACTGCCTATCCTTCTCCCACAAAGCAGCAGGTGGATTTGAACTTACGTGCCTCTGGAATTACAGCAAAGCTTCTTACCACTAGGGGGTCCAAAGCTCCTTTTGGTTTGCTTATTTTGTGGGAAAAAAAATCCAAAACTCTTTGCCATCAAGTCAGAGTCATCTCAGAGCAGACCCTTCCAGTGGGGTTTTGGAGGCTGTAAATTGCACAGAAGGAGACTGTCTGTCTTTTGCTGCTGCTGGATTCAACCCGCCAAAGAGATGCCACCTTTGGGTTAACAGCATAATTCCCTATGGACTATGGTACCAAAGAGAGGATTAGTTACTACAGATAAGGAAAAACACATTTAAAACAGGAAGTCCCTTCCCTTAAATTGATAAGCAATGAAGACAGAAGGGGCATCTAAGCTATCTGCCTCCCACAGCATGTGTTCCTTAATGCACCAGTTATTTATTGAAACCTACTATGTGCTAAGGGAGCTCTGATTGCCTAGTGGTACGAAGCTGCACTGCAAACCTGAAGGCACATGGTTTGAATCCACCAGCTGCTCTGCAGGAGAATGGGCAATCTCCTCTCATGTGATTAACTGCCTCTGAAACCCACAGGAGGGCCAGCAGTGGGTCAGTTCTGACTCCACGGTCTACAACAACAACAACTATGTACTAAAGCCTGATGCAATTAAATTGGGGATGCAATTCATTATCATCATTGTCAACACTTGTTACTCACTGGAATGGAGTGATACATGGAAATTGAGGGAAGTGGAGATATACTGCTAGTAATAATCATGATTCGTACTATATCAAGGTCATTACCCTGGAGGCAGAAATAACACAGCTGACTTTCCAATGGGTTTCCAAAGCTGTAAATCACTTGGGATGAGATTACCCGTCTTTCTTGCTGGACGCCTCTGGTGGATTTGAACTGGCAGAGAGGCGTCACTGTTGGATTAGCAGCACAACTCCCTGTGCACTATGCCAGCAGCACTCTCCTTTCCTTAGAGAAGGAAACGGAATTAAATTATAGAATGGACTTGAAAATAGAATCTAAAATAGATTTGAGTCTTGTGCTTTCCTTTTTTTCCAAAGTCACCATGCTCCTATCAATTATACGGCGCAAGTACCACCTTGGTTTTACATTTATGCAATTTTGTTGTTGTTGTTGTTATTGTTGTTGTTGTTATGTGCCATCGAGTCACCTGAAACTCATAGCGACCCTATGTACAACAGCCCTAAACCCTGCTCTGTACTGTGCCAACCTCACTGTCTCTGACACACTCACCCTAATTACCCCAGTCACTGAATCAATCTACCTCATAGAGGGTCTTCCTCTCCTGCACTCTCTCTCCAACCTCCCAAGCATCATGTCTTTCTCCAAGGACTGCTCCCTCCTTGCAACATGTCCAAAGTATGTCAGATGAAACTTCAGAATCCTTACCTCAAAGGAGCAGCCTTGTTTCATTCTCTCTAGGAAGAACCTGTTCATTTTCTTAGCAGTCCGTGGAGTACATTCAATACTCTTCTCCAGCATCACAGCTCAAAGGCATCAGTTCTCCTTCTGTCCTCGCTAGTCACTGTCCAGCTCTTTGACACATAACAAGTGATTGCAAAGACTATGACTTGTAAATTTTTGTGGTCTAATGGGTGCATAGGGTCGCTATGAGTCGGAAACGACTCGACGGCACATAACAACAACACAACAACTAATGGGTGCAGCAGGGGCTCTGGTGGCTTACTGGTAAGAAGCTGTGCTGCAATCCCAAAGATACACAATTCAAATCCACCAGCTGCTCTGCTGGAGAAGGAGGGGCAGTCTCCTCCTGTGCAATAAACCGCCTCTGAAAACCCACTGGATCATCAACTATGAGTTGGTTCTGACTAGACAGCACGCAACAGCAACAACAGTGGGTGCTGAGAAGCTGACCGTTTGAGCCCGCCAGCTCTTTTTCCTGGGAAGAGCTTTGGCAATCAGTTTTCATAAAGATTAATTCAACTCATTGCCTCTTTGTAGGAACCATCTCTCACCTGACCCTTCACTGGGGTCCCGGTGCTGTGAATGAACAGTCTCTCCTTTCTTCCTCCAGTGGAGCCGTTAGTGCGTTTGAACCACCAGAGAGGCTCTGCCTTTGAGTTAGCAGCACGTGGGCAGTTCTATTCCGCCCTTAGGGGATGTTAAGGGGGGAAACAACTCTGTGGCAGGAGGTGAGGATGTAAGCTGGCACTCAACATGACTTTGCTCATGTGTCTCAGGTGGTGAAGGCGTTTATCGTCCTGGACCCCAAGTTCCAGTCTTATGACCGGGACCAGCTCACGAAGGAGCTTCAGCAGCACGTGAAGGCAGTGACAGCCCCGTACAAGTACCCCAGGAAGGTGAGCATGGCAGATGGAGGGTCTGCCCTCCTGACTGGCATCCGTGCTCAGCCACTCCAGGTCCTCCAGGGCTAAGCTCAGGTAGCCAACAGTGCTACCTTCTTCTATAGCAGAAGGAGTTCAGTTTAAGGATGGGGTGAAGCAGATTTCATTGATGGGAAACTCTGCCCTGTGTCAGAAATGGCTTCTGAAGAGAAAGAGCAGATGTCTAAATATACATGCTCAAGAGGGTTATTTAGAGTCCTTAGGAAATGAAAAAGAACTCGAAATCAACAGCTTCTAAGTTTTCTCTAATTTGATGTGTTAAGTTAGCAGACTTAAGAAATCAGAAAGAATGAGAGAAAGCTTAATACAGCTTTATTAAAGAGGGGATAGAGGCGCTCCCGGGTGAAGTTCCTCATTCTGGGGATGCAGAATGGGGAAGGCACCATGTGAACTTACTGGGGACGGTTTTTATAACAGTCTTTAGGGAGGGACAGTCCATTCTGATTTACAATCCACCTGCTAGCCCAGCCAGGCAGGCAAGGCCATTTGCTCTTCTTATCAGCGGCAGGCAAGGCCATCAGCATTTGAATTCTGAATTTTTCATTTTTTTCCTTTGGCCCCTTGTCCAGACTTAACACTATGTTGTATTATAATGAAATGCATACACACACATTCATTCATTGGTTACCATTGAGTCAAAACCGACTCACAGTTGCTCCTCTGGTGGATTTTCAGTCACCAGCAACTCATAGCAACCTTATGTACAAGAGCCCTAAACTTTCTTCTAGCCTGTGCCAATCTCACTATCTCTGACACATCTACTCCCCATTATCTTAGTCACTAAATCAATTCATCTCATAGAAGGTCTTTCTCGCTTGTACTGTCCCTCCACCCTCCCAAGCATGACGTCCCTCTCCAAGGACTGGTTACAATACATTGTTGTTGTTGTTGTTGTTGTTAAGGTCATGGAGTCATAGACGACTCATAGCGACCCTATGAATGAAAAACCTGAACACTTGTACACTTTGTACTCTTGTAACACTTTGGTTATACATTACTGTACTCTAATGTAAAAATTAATAAAATTGTTTTTGTTGTTGTTAGATGCCATTGAGTCCACTACAATTCATAGCAACCCTATGAATAACAGATCTGGACCCTGCTCTACTCTGCACCGTTCTCATGATCAAATATGCTCTAGCCCATTGCTACAGTCACTGTGTGAATGTATCTTATTGCAGGTCTTCCTCTCTTTCCCTGACCCTCCACCTTTCCCAGCATCCTTTTCCCAAGGACTGGTCCCTCCTGACAGCGTGCCTGTAGGGAGCACCCTGGTTGCACTTCCACCCAGACAGACTTGTTTGTTCTTTTGACAGTTCATGGGCGATCCAGTACTCTTCTCCAATACCACAACTCAAAGGCCTCGATTCTTCTTCTGTCATCCTTACTCATTGTCCAACCTTCAGATACATAGGAAGCAACTGAAAATACCATAAACTTCAACAGATATTCAGTATTTTGTATTCTACATCATTTTATGAAAAGGTTGCCTGTGACTTACAAAGTTCACTTTACAATTTACTAATGGACCTATGGCTTGAAAAATCACTGACCTAAATGTCCAAAATACCTGTTGTTGTTGTTGTTGTTGTGTGCCGTCAAGTCGCTTGCAACTCATAGTGACCCTATGTACAATAGCACTAAACTCTGCTCTGTCCTGTGCCAATCTCATTGTCTCTGACAAATACATAAATAATTCAAATACTTGTGAAATTAGCTTTCTCCTGTAGTCTAAAATTATGATGCACATATTTTGGCTCTTGACACAAAAAAGATCTGGTCATCATATTATGATGAGAAAAAATACAGGATACAGAATTGCGTAATGTCATACAATCTTATTTGCTTAAAGAAATGAGAGTTAAAATGGTGCAGATGCCAAGGGTAATAGTTCTTGCGTTGGGGGTATTTTGCTGCATTATTAGAATTTTTACAGTCAACACCTCTCATGTAGCTAAATGGATAACATTCACTGATTGCTCACTCTCCCTGCTAGGCTCTATGGAAAATGCTCTATATGTTGTAGTTGTTGATTGCCTTTGAGTCAAGCATGACTCATAGTGACCCTATGAACAAAAGGCCTGAGGTCCCTCTACAACTATCGAGATTTAACAAAGTTCACAGAGTTTCCGGAGGCGTGTTGTTTAGGAAGTAGATGCCACTCCTGCTTCTAAATAAAATGAGATGTTACAACATAATGAGATTCTACAACAATTATATTGTAGTATCTCATTTAATTCTTGCCAGAACTTACTTTGGTATACTTTTCCTATTTTATAAAGAGGAAACTAAGTCACACGCACATTGTTGTTGTTTTTGTTGTTGTTGTTGTTATGTGCTATCAAGTCACCTGCAACTCATAGCGACCCTATGTACAACAGCTCTGAACCCTGCTCTGTCCTGAGCCAACTTTATTGCTTCTGACACACCTGCCCTTATGACCCCAGTCACTGAGTCAATCCATCTCATCCAGGGTCTTCCTCTCTTGCACTGTTCCTCCACCTTCCCAAACATAATGCCCCTGTCTAAGGACTGGTCCCTCCTTGCAACTTGCCCAAAGTATGTCAGACGAAGCTTCAGAATCCTTGCCTTCAAGGAGCAGCCTAGTCTCACCCTCTCCAGGATGAACCTGTATATTCTTCCGGCGGTTCATGATATATGCAATACTCTTCTCCAGTACCACAGCTAAAAGACATCAATTCTCCTATCATATCCATGTCATTATCCATTTTTCTGATTGCATAGCACATAATTGCAAAGACCAAGGCACATTAAGTGGCCTGAAATTACAGGTAACAAAAGGCAGAGCTGAAACTCAAACCCATATGTGTGTTATTACAAAGTTCACACTTTTGGTGCTGGGCTATGTTTCTATGTATATGGCTTCCAGCATCACAGCAACAGCAGAGGATAACAAAGTGTCAGACAAGTTCTGCAGGCATCCTCAGGATGGCCCAAGGTGGGCAGGCTTCAGGGGGGCTTCCAGACTAGGAGAAGACTAAGAATAGGAACAAAGACCAGTGAAAACTTTGCATCAGAGCAGAATATCTTCCAATAGAGCGTTGGGTGTGGAGCCTCCAAGGTTGGAAGGCACTTGACATTGACAATGACCTTAAGCATGCCAACAATTACAGCACAACACTGGGCAACACTTTCAATTCTATTGTCTTTGGGGTTTTCACGGGTCTTTGCCAACTCTGCCGCAACTAACACCAACAGCAATGCTGCCTCCCTGGGAACAGATGAGGTGACGCCCAGCAGCCGTGAACTTGTTCACTATGAGTAATAAAATCTTAGTGACTGATGCCAGTGGGAGTGTCTTCAGAGACCTCCACGTCCCCTCACTGAAGAAGGATAAAGAAAAAGCATGAACTTTGTCATCAGACATACGTGGCTGGCATTCCAGCTCTGCTGTTTATTACCTGTTATTTCAGGCCCATTTACTGTCCTTGTAACTTAGTTTCCTCTATGTAGAAGGGGAGGATTCTAACACAGCATCTTGTGGGAAGGATTAAATGAAATACCACATCCAGAGCATTTTCTACACAGTCACCATATAGACACCAGCAGGGACCTCAGGCAATATGAGGACAGGGCAGCCAGCCTCCTATCCTCAAGGGTTCCTCTGCCTAGAAGTGACAAGCTTCACCTTCATTTACAATCCATTGGCCAAAGCAAGTCATGAGGCCCCACAGACCGGGGGCGGTCGGCAGGAAATGCATGAAGGTGACAGCAGGGTTGAGCCAGGCTGGACTTTCTTCCTCTCCTTCCAGGTGGAGTTTGTCACAGAGCTGCCCAAAACTGTCACTGGCAAGATCAGACGGAGCGAACTTCGGGAAAAGGAGTTGGGGAGAGTGTAGTCGGCACCCTACCCACTGAATGACCTTGTCCAGTCCCTGGTCACCTCACTTCCCTGAGATGTGCTTGGGCGTGGGCTGGGGATGATTTCAAAGGGGATCAAGGATACCAAGATTTCCCTCCTCAAGGGAAAAGTTCAATCACTACCCCTCCTCCAACTGTTTTCTCCTTTTGTGACTGACCTCTGGGAGTGGGGCTTTTGAGGGGTCAGGGGGAGTAAAACACCAGCATCAATATCACCATCATCTTTGTTTTGAATTTCTCAGAACTTCCTGGGATTCTCTCCAAACCCTGATCCTGAGATGAAGTCTTCCTTCTCATCCAATGCCATCTGGTGGCCATTCCATGGTCAAGGGCAATGAGGCTGGGAAGGATGATCTGTGTGGCCCAAGCCTAGAGCTGGGGCTAGAGGGGCTTCTGAGGGTCAGGTCTCTGTGGACAGACAGACCAGCTCCTGCCACCTTTGGGAGCCTGTCACTTTGTTTCTAACAGTAGCTGCCTCTGTCCTGTTGCAACTGTCTGACATCCTGTCCAGTGACTCCAGGCAAAGAAACAACACTACAAGTTCTTTTGGTGAAGCTAGAAGAATCTCTTGTGTGCAGGGGAGCGCTGACAGAGACCACAGCTTCTCAAGGGTCAGGCTCCTTGAAGGCAAAATGCTCTCTCTTTCTATAGACTTACAAGGTAGTGCTTGGGATCCCTTTTCTATTGGCCAGCTTTTACATACATTATGATTGGTTAGTTAAGACTTTGAAGGCTATAGATCCCTTAGATACAAAGGGAGAAAGGTCATAGGTCAGCTAAAATCCCCTCATTAGATTACTGGGCAACCAACTCGCAGCTGCTGCAGCTGCTGCAGCTGCTGGACTGGTTTTTTGTTCCTTATTGCTGAACATGCATCCCCTTTATATGGTCAAAGCTGCCCACCCACCACTGCTCCTGGGGGTCGAGCCTGCCAAACAGGTTTCCTGTGTTTACTTAATGTATGTCTTCTTGGGCCCGGGCCTGCCTCAGTCCCAGCTCCTGACCAACATGGTGAGTGAGGGGCCCTGGCTCTCTGAGGATCCAAGCGCCTCCCCCCCAGTTCTCCCAGAGTGACCACCACTCATTCCTAATCAGAGATCTAGAAGCTCTTCCCCCAGAGTCCCCACAGAGCTCCCCTGCTTTCCCCAGGGACCCAGGACTGCCCCAACCTTCCCACTGTCACTCCATGAACACAGCCCTGTGAACCCCAACCATCCTGAGGGACATATCCTCAATCACCCCTCCCCACGGCCCACAGTCCTCCCACATGCCCCTCCCACTCACTGTGACCCTCAGTAGCCACAAACTGACCAGGGTTCCAGAGAACTGACCTTCAGTCCTTCCATCATCGAAGTCTGAAGTGGGGCATCCAGGAGGACACCAGAAGGGGAGGACCAGAGGCAGAAGGGCCACCCCATCCTGAGGGGAAATGTCTCCTGCCCCCACTCCAGAGAAGTCCCCTCTGTGACTGCGTGTTCTTGGGATGTGAGGACAGGCATCAGGAAGTGTACAGATCCCGAGACGGTAGATAAGAAATGCTCCTGCGTGCACATCGACTCACTTCCACAACCCAGCCTGCATTCCCCCAACAGGCGCCCATGGGTACACAGACACACAGCAACAAGACGGCCCCAGGGCAGACAGGACTGACATTGACACAGACACGGAGGGCCACCAGGACAGTCCTCCAGGGCAAATTGGGACACAAAGATGCTTAAGGCCAGCAAGACGGTGCCCCAGGGCAGACAGGGCAGACATGAACAGAGATACACAGGGCCAATGCAACAGCTCCCCTCTGCACCCCAGGGCAAAGTGGGACACAGATGCACCAAAATCACCCCAAAACAATACTCCAGGGAAAACTGAGACTCAGAAAGAACACACAGGCACAAAGATTCACCCTAAGCCATACTCAAAGAAGTAAATTCATATCCACACAGATCCTAAACACAGATACAGTCACTCCGGCAGGCATACATACACTCAGATACAGAGAGAGAGAGAGATTTCCACACTGAACCACAGCCACACATACCACAATAGCACAACATACCTGATAATTGTAAACACTCAAGACCTCTGGCCTACACAGTTTACATAGAAGCGTGTACACACACACAGAGAAAGACTTTGATCTTCAGGATGCACAGTGTCCTTGGAATTCTCAGCAGGGATCATTGCAGCCAACAGGGCTACATGCTTGGGATGCCCTGCTCCAACAAGGTTGTCACCAAAGAGTGTTCCCTGAGTCCAGGTTCAAGCTGGACCTGTGGACCGTTGTGCCCCGAAGAGTCAGGAAAAGGCTCTGAGAACAGCTTCTAGGAATAAGGTCAGCGCTAACGCAGGGACCCTCAGAGAGGAGTGTCCTGAGGGTCCTGGTGGGTCTACAGAGCAGTGAATGCCACAGCAATTGCTAGCTTCCACAGAAGTTGCGATGATAGATCCCCTGATGATTAATTTTGCGCATCAATCCTCCGCATGTGTGCAAAAGTGAGAAAAGGCAAAGAGCCTCCCTAGGGGATTAGCAGAGGAAATCTTCAATGGCAAAGCAAACCCGTTCAGATAAGAATTGTTGTTGTGTACCATAGAGTCAGAACCAACTCATAGCTGACCCTCCAGTGGGTTTTCAGAGGCAAGAAATCACACAAGGAGAGATTGTCCATCTTCTTCCCACCAGATCTGATTAATCCTACACATAATGAGGACACTGTGGTGGTTTAGTGGTAAGGAATTGCACTGCCAACACAGAGGTATGCAGTTCAAATCCACCAGCTGTTCTGCAAGATAGAGATAAGCAGTCTCCACCCATGGAGTGTCCTGCCTCTGAAAACCCACTGGCGGGCCAGCTATGGGTCGGTTCCAACTTGACGGGACACAGCAGCAACAACAACAGCACACTTCATGAGAATTTCAGCATTTCACTATGCTCATGTCAAACCTGTACTTGGATCAAGAGGGCAACTGGACAGAACAAATTTCTAAAGGTGTGCAACAGGGTTGTATCCTTGACCTTGTCTACTCCATCTGTACATTGAAAAAATAGTCCCAGAAGCTGGATTGTAGGAAGAAGACAAGCTCAGGACCGGAGGGTGCTCATAAATCATTTCAATAGTCAAGTAACACAACCTCACTTAAAAAAAGAAGAAAAAGAAGATGACTTGCAGCATTTACTGACAGAAGTCAAAGGCTATAATAGCCTTTGACATGGATTATTCCTGAACACAAAGAAAAGCTCTCACAATGTGACCAATAAATGACATCATGATAAACCGAAATAAATTGAAAATGTGATAGATTCCATTCTATTTGGCTCAACTATCAAATTTTATGTAAACAGCCATCAAGAACTCAAAAGACATGTTCTATTGGGCAAATCTGCTGCAAGAGATTTCCCTACATGGTACAGGCACTATGGAAGGTGCTCTGGTGCTTTCTCAAAAAGTTGGAAATAGAAATTCCATTTGACCCAGCATTGCCACTGCTGGGAATATACCTTAAAGAAACCACGACCACGACTCAAATAGATGTATGCTCACTTATGTTTATTGTTGTGTTAGTTACAATAGCAAAGAGATGGAATCAACCCAAGTGCCCAAGAAAAACACAATCACACAATGGAATACTATGCAGCACTGAAAAACAATGAAAGAGTAAAACATCACACACCATGAAGAAGACTTGAGGACGTTATGCTGAGTCAAGTATCTCAGTCACAATAGGACAACTGCTGCATAACACTGCTGTTATAAAATAAGAAAGACATGGGAGGGTGTTGGAGAGAGAATGGGTAAAGAGTGGATAGATAATGAGCATGGCATTAGAACAGATGAGGGGAAGAACTGTCTGAAAGGAAGGTATGATTATGCATTGTATGTATGAGAACAATCTGGAACAAGGGGTGCATTGCAGGGTGGACTGCGGGAGGGGGAAGGGGAGGAGGTAGAAAAGATACAACAATGGTTTTGGGGTTTTTCAAATTATAGAAAGCAGTTCTATTTTTAAATTATGAAAAGCAGTTTCTAGGACTTTGAGAAAAGCACAGTCCTTCACACAGTAATATGCATCTGGAAGAGTTTTCCATTAATTTTTCAATTCGTTTTACAAGATTAGCATTTTAAAAACACAACCAAATACTCCTATGACTCTCAAAGGACACACACACAAAATTGGTCTCTGTTCATTCTCAAATGACAGGACGTTCCCAAAGTGGGAAAAATGATTTTGATTTTCAATGATTTTAGTTTTCTTTAATCATCCTACCAACGGCTCTGCTTTCTTTCTTGAACTACTTTCCCTCTCCAAAGCGGTAATGTTGTGATCAGTCAGAAAGACTTTCTGAGAAGACTGTCTTGGATTTCTGGGTCTGTTCCAGTCGATTCAAGATGAACTGGCTTGTATCAATGAAACGCTCGACACAGTTCACAAAACAAGCCTCAGCCCAACTGTCCAACTTTGGCCTAGGCTTGTCCATGCACTTCTCCCAACAAAGTTCAGTCATTTGATGCACCAGCTGCTGAAAGCATTGCTTTTGCATCTCCACCTCAATGAAATGTTGCAATTGTGGGTCCACGGTGCCCAAACCCGCTGTGGAAGAAGACGAAGAGGAATCCATCCCAGCACAACCACACTGCAGAGATGAACTCCACACCAACTCACCGACCTTCACGTGTCTCACAACAATGATTTAAAAAAAAAAAAAAACACAGCTTCTATATAGTTTTTTAAGTGGAAAATGTTGCTTTGATGGTGAAGATGCACCAGATCTAATTAAATTTAATTTTTAATTACCTCACACACATGACACAGTAACTGTAGCAATGGGCTTGATGGCCCAAGAATAGGACAGGGTTCAGATCTGTTGTTCGGAGGGTCGCTATGAGTCATGCTCCACTCGACAACACCTAACAACAACATCATATGCATGTGAAAGTTGGACAATAAAAAAGAAGGCTGAAGAGCTAATGCACTGGAATAGTGG